GGCTCACGCCTGTAATCCCAGCACTTTGGGAGGCTGAGGCAGGCGGATCACCTGAGGTCGGGAGTTCGAGAACAGCCTGGCCAATGTGGCAAAACCCCATCTCTACTAAAAATACAAAAATTAGCCAGGTGTGGTGGTGCATGCCTGTAGTCCCAGCTACTGGGGAGGCTGAGGCAGGAGAATCTCTTGGACTTGGAGGTGGAGGCTGTAGTGAGCTGAGATTGTGCCACTGCACTAAAAAAAAAAAAAAAAAAAAAAAGAGAGAGAGAGAGAGATTATATGATTGATTAGATATCCAAAGTAATAAAAAAAATTTAAAAAGTTATTGTTTATGGAGTGTTTGATAGATGTCAGACCCTGTGCTGAGTACTTTCTATGGCTTATCTTAGGTTTACAATTAATCTATGCAAAACATGGCCATCAGTAATTCAGTAATTCTAATTATCAGTAATTCTAATACACACAAATGTATACATGCTTGCATATATATATGGACAGCTATATATGTGTGTATACAGAATATATAGGTAGGTATGTACGTGTATATATATCTTAGCAAGTAAGCACTCCATCATCTTTGACTTAATTAATGGGCATGAAACACCCAACCATCATGCCCGTTCAGCAACTGTCTTCATGAACTGACAGTCAAGTAGGCAAATAGGATGAAAATGACCTAAACCCTCAAACTGTCAAGTTACTGCAGGCTTCAAAATGCCGTTTATAGGGTGGGGGGTGGTGACAGAAGGGAATGGTTAGCGTTTGGATTGCTTGGAAATATGAGAGAGAGAGAATGTTCAGCTAGAATGTGCAAGAAAGATACTGATACTCAAATACAGTTTTAAAATGGGGGCCATAGTCTATAAAAAATGGAAATGTAGCAAAAGGGGATCGGTCACCCAGTTAACTCAAGGCTATACATCTACATGTGCACCGGCAAAAGGAAATTCATGACTGGCCCCATTTTGAGACTTAAAGCAAAAGCAATGGAAATAAATGACAGAAACAAATATTCACTAGTCTGTGGCCTTCAACTTATTTTTCATTTTCATTTTTATTTTTTATTTTTGGCCTTCAACTTATTTTTAAACTGCCCTCACATCAGTAAACATTTAACACACAGTCCTACATATTTCTATATTAATACACTGGGTATATGATAAAAATAGCCACAGACATACTTTTAAAAACATGACTATATCTGTTCTTACATTTTCTTCCTACATCCCCCTTTGGAAGCCCATGTAAGGGTCTCAGAAGCAGAATATCAGCATCCAGGAGGGATTTCCTACCCCACTAGGTGGCGCTTGGCACCATATAAGTAAAACCACAGCATCTATCTGTAAGATGTTAGGGAAATTACGGTAAAGACATCCTTTTACCCACAAATGTAATCAGCAACTCTATCAGGACTTACGGGACTTCAATTCCTTTAACCACTTGCTCCTGTCTATCTAATTCTGCCCTAGTGTTCTTGTTCAAATTGTCTTCACCTTTGGGCCCTAAACAGAACTGCCAGTCCTATATAGTTAAATTACATCTGTCCAAAAACAGTGCCCAGTGGGAAGCAATTTGAGTTTAAGTGCAGCTCCACTCCCGGGAAGTAGGCTGAGAGCACCAAAGTTTATACACAAAAGGAGGGAAACTGAGCACAGCTGGGGGCTCTGGGCTTTCCTTGCTAAAGTGATCCCTGTAATAACAGTCCCTGGTGTCCCAAAGGAAGATGTGGTGCTTCCCAAACTGCTCTGCAAGCCAGTTGCTTCAAAAGTATTGCAGGGATGCGGACTTCTGGGTCCCAGAGATTGAGCAGTTGACTTTACCTCTCTGATCTTACCTTTATCTCTGAGTTAACCCATCATCTTTAAGACGGAGCTGCTAATACTAGCCTCACAGAGGTGATATGAACATTCAAGGGAATAAATGAAGCATTTAATTTGCATTTTCTGCTTAATAGATGTGACCTCCCTTCCTCCTTCCCTTCCACCCCTTACTCAATGACATTGTCGGGATACCAGTGACTTCATCTTGAACCCTTCTTCCTAAGATCCTCCTCACTCCCTCCTTGCCTGTCATTCCCTTTGTGGGCCTGCCCTCATGAGTAGGAGCCAAAGTTGTGATTACTTTAAAATGCATCTTCTCCATTCAGAACATGCTTCTTGTGTTCTGTTTTCTTCGGTGGCCTGTTCTGGAGAGTTGATCATCTCACAGATTAATCCATCACGATGTGTTAATGGACAGGAGTGATGTGTTAAAGGGCAGGAATAATGTGTTAAAACAACCCTTGAAAGTTTGTAAATTAACTGGGAATTTTGGTTATGATGCCTCAATCCAAAGGCAAAGAAATCAGTCATGAGAAATGTAGGCCCAGAAGAGAGATGGGAGTTATAAACTGTTTTATTTAATGCATGTCACCTGTTACTAAGTTCTGTTTGGTGGGCCTCCATCTGGACCTGGTGCAGGGATGTTACCACCATCCCGGGGTGATAGCAGGACAACAACCTAGTTCTGGCTCCCAAAACAGCCCAAACAATCTTCTCAGCAGTGTGGTCCACCTGGACAATGGGCCTCAGATATGGGTTCATGGATATGTTACTACAAACTTCTTTTGCTCAAGTCAACTCATGCAATTCACTGTTATGAAATCCCCTGGAATCTATGCCTCACGGTGTTGTCTTGGCCAGTGAGAAGTAAAGCAGCCATGTGTCATACAAGAGCAATATGGCTTCCTAGTTAGCCGTCTCTGTCTAGTCTTAGCCTCAGTAGTTGCCACTGGCCAGAAGAATATTGAGAGCCATTTTCTGTCTGTGGGAGCCGCTGTCTGGCTCATCTTTGCTCTAGGGATGTCTGAAAACTGTCATGAGGTCCCCAGGACTTCCCATTTCCTTCTGGATTTTACCAGACTATTTTTAGTGAGTGTTCAGTGTGAGACACTGTAACGAGAACCCTCTCAGTCATTTTAAGTCTGAGCTTTTCCAAAACGTTTAATTAATATAAATCCCCAAGAGGGGGCAGTGATAAACATATGAAGACATGCAACCACTGACGTCATGACAAACATGTTAGAAATGAATTACAACCTGAGATTAGGGGAATCTTAAAGACTGAATTAGTGCTTGAAACTTGAGATAAGTAGAAAGAGTGAATTTGAATGTGGCAGAGAGTCCAGCCAGTGTCACCTAGGGAAGATTCCACGGAGCCAATTTTAGAAGATCATGCTCACTGAAGCAGGTGGGGGACATGTGTGTGAGAGAGACATAGGTTTCCAACCAAAAGTGCACACAAAACCACACCTTCCAAACAGAAGCATCCACCTGCAACAACGGCTGTCTTCTTTTCATTCTTGTACATTGCTTGACACTTGCCGTGGGTGTCTAGAGCCAAAAAGGAAACTGAGAGGGAGGGGGAGGCAAAAGAAGAAAGGAGGGAAAGAAGAAGAAGAAAAAGAAAAACCTGAAACAGTGTGAAACTGCCCTATTGTGATTTCATTCTCACTGGCGTGGGTGGCCCCTATGTTACCAGGGCCCTTTCCACACCATCTTATGAGTCTGGGACTTATTTTCTTTTTAACCCTCCTTCTTCATAGCGTTGGTTGGCAGGTGGGTTGTTCTCTTGTTTGCCTTCAGTATATTGTTAACTTGGTGAAATGGATTAATCTTTGTCTTGGTGTTGTCTGAAGCACATCTCTGTTTGAGTCCCCTCAATCACGTTCTTTGATCGTTTCCCTCCCACATAGCTATTGGACTTTGGAGGGTACAAATCATTCCCAGTGTTTCTTAGGGTCAAGGGCTTCACCTTCCAGTAGATGCCAGGAGCAGCATGTGCTATAACTAACTGCTTCTAGAGCACAGCGACCCGAAGCTCCAAGGAGGGATGTGCTCCCACTATCTGTGACTAAGCCTTTCCCATGAATAGTGTTCCTGCTTACTGAGCATGTGCAGCAGAGGCGGAGGAACAATTCCAACCTCAACTCCACCCCCATGTTAAAATTGGGCCATAAATAACTAGCAGGATGTACAACCTGGTCCTCTTGTTCACCCGAGTTAGGATGAGAAGCAGGAAGTAAATAAAAAGCATATCTTATGGGAGGTGGAAAGGCATTATAAATAAGAAGAGTGTGTGTCCTTGCTATCCCCATCACAGCTTCCTTGGAGATGGGCACAAGTTACCCACACTCTCAGGTCGCCACATCCCCTTGCATACTCTATATTCCTTGGTCACATGTAAGAGATGATCTGGACCTAAAAGAGTGTCCAGACAGATGGAGCTGGAAGTAGACCTGCAAATGGGGCCGAGAGATCCTGACTCAGGGTCGGGGCTACAATCAGACTCATCCTCTCTCTCCTCTACAAACTGCAGATACATGTTTTGCCTTTTTCTCATCCATAACATTTGCCCTGCCAAGTGCCTCTCTTGGCTTGGATTCTAAAAATACCAAGTCTTGCTAAGATGTAGTATCTATCTGAAGAGAAAGGACACTCCCTGGCCAAGTCAAGGTTGAAAGGGGCTTGAACCAACACTTGATGGTGGAAGCAGAATTCATGGAAAATCTGAGAGTCCCTTCTGGGGTGGAGCCAACCAGAGGCCAGTCAGCAGAGAAGCCCCACATTCAGAGCTTTGTGGGGACCATCTATGAACAGCTCCAGTCCTACAAAGCTGCACTGAGGGCCCTCAGAAAGTTAAAAGTATGACATGTCAAGATTACCAAAGAATTCCGATAAAAACCATCTGTTAGTGTGCTGTTATTTTCCTATAACAAACCACCGTACTTAACCTCATGTCAAAATACTCTGTGGTTTCTGAGTTGCATTATTTTCATTTTCCCTTCCTCTTGATCCATTTCAGAAAGTGTTTAAGTTGTCTTCAAGTGATTTTATGTATTTATGTGTTTCAATAGAAGACAATTTATAATGGCGAAAAGCTGATTTTTTAATGCCATTATCCTTGTTCTCACGGAAGAAGAACAGAAACTATGAAACACAATAAAGCTTACAGAAGTTGTGAAACAGTTGACTCCAGCAATTCAATTACCTCTCTATTTATTCCAGAGATTAATTTGGGAATTTGTGACCCTTACTGATTAAATGTCCTTTGGAAATAATTCATTTAGTGTGTACTCACAGGTAAAGTAAAGCCTTTGGCACTGCCACATATGAGGAAAATATGTCTTCAATCACAGGCTTGAACACATGCACGCTGTTTTCCAAATGGCACAAACACCATTGTAGATCACTTCTTCCATGAAATAAAGCAAATTGGTCAGGTTTCAATCTTTGAACTCATGAATTTATACCCAGTTGAAAGTACATGTGTCTTAAGAATGTCTTGGTTCTTTCTGTTGTTTTTGAATCTGATAGTTGAAGTTCAAAACTGAAGCTTTCTCAATGTGAAGGTCTATAAACTTTGGTTTCTTCTCCCATCCCCCAGCAAAAAATGAAAGGAATCCATATAATTGGCATTCAAATAATTGTCATCTCTGATAAAAGTATAGATAAATACACACTCTCGGAGTCCTCCTTTAGGGCTTACCGTCAAAACCATCTAACATTGCTGTATCAAGCGTGCAGGTATTTACAAATATATGGCATTAGTTAACAAAACAGTTTGAAAGATATTGGATGAGGAAATTTTACTTTGGATACAGTACTTTGCAGTACAGATAAAAACATTTAAGCAGGTAAATTATCAAAGGTAGAGAATATCACTTTGTATAAAGGCAGATCATTTAAATATTTTTCCATTTGTAGGTGGACCATATCCGTTTATGGTAAGGATGTGTCTTTCTTTCTCGCTGTTTCCCTATGGAAGGAGCAGGCCCAAGGGAAAAGAGCAGGAAGCACTGAAGCAGCAACCACCTGTGTGGTGCCCACACTCGATCTGCACAGAACGGGGCCCTGGATGTCACAGAAGCAATTGGTTAAGAAGTTGACTGGGTTTTGTTTGTTTGTTTGTTTTTTGAGACAGAGTCTAGCTCTGTCGCCCAGGCTGGAGTGCAGTGGCACAATCTTGGCTCACTGCCACCTCCGCCTCCCAGGTTCAAGCAATTCTCCTGCCTCAGCCTCCCAAGTAGCTGGGATTATAGGCACCTGCCACCACGCGCAGCTAATTTTTGTATTTTTAGCAGAGACAGGGTTTCACCGTGTTGGCCAGACTGGTCTTGAACTCCTGATCTCGTGATCCACCCGCCTCGGCCTCCCAAAGTGCTGGGATTACAAGCATGAGCCACCGTGCCCAGCCAGTTGACTGGGTTTTTATTTCACTAAACTAACTCTAGTACATTTTGGTCTCATATAGACAGAGCTTGAGCTTTTTTTAAACCCTATTTCTGTATATACCAGTACTTTTTAAGGGTAGAAATGCAGTTCTCCTCAATGTCATGATTGTGTGTATATTTAATCATCACAATTACAGGAGCATCAGAGCCCTGTGTTTTTTACTTGGCACTCCTTTCCCAACAGTATTTTATACAAGAGCTGAGGGGAGAGACTCAAGTGCAAATAGAGACACAGAGACATAGGAAAGAAGACTCAATGCATTATATAAATTCCATCTTTCCAACTCCTGTGACAGATGTTGGTGACTCCCCCGAAATATGGGCAATCTCATTTCTTGAAGAATTTCAAAACACGCTTTTGGTGTGACATACATGAAAACAATTTAAACCACCAGGCATCTCCTTGGTAAGCTAGGCAGTCGTGTTTTGCAAAGAAGGGCTAGACCGTTTCCTTGAACACCTGACTATAGGCCACGTGATTGTCTGTGGCCAGGGCGTTCTTTAGACACTGCCAGAAGTATGGGTGAGCCTGCGGGTTTGTTGGCCACTCAAGGACAGAACTCCCACAGAGTCTTTTCCGGAGCTGGAGGAACTTGGACTTCTGAAAGGGCTTCTCAAGAAATATCAAGATAATCACATCAACTTTTTCATCCATGAGCCTCTGATGGGACAAGTAAAATGCTATCTTAAAATTTTCGGTCTTTGCATACTTGTCTGTCATCACAAACACTGTCTTTTTGCTAAGCTGTATGCTCTGGGAAAGGTTTTCCAGAACTGGCTGCCCTGGTAACCAGTCCCTTTCCTCGAGACATAAATTAAAATGTTTCTCTCTTGGGTCTTCCAGTTTGGCCACCAGCTCAGCCAAAACCCACTCTGTCACAGCTGGGTCTTTAGTGTCATACACAATGAAAGCATCATAGCAACAGTCTGGTGATATTAGACGCTGATACCCCTTTATCTTGGCCTTACAGAAATGGTAAATATACCACACATCCCAGAAATAGAGGTGACTTGCTGTCATCATCACCATGAGAAAGAGAGATACAGATATGGAAAGTGAGAACAGAATCAGGTTAGTCAGATCTAACTCACAGGTATACAGATCCAGGGAGATCACACTCTGGCCCTTGTGTGCTCCTGGCCCCACGCAAGTCACGTCTGTGGCCAGGTAAGGAATAGTCACCTCCGTATGGTTAACCCACCAGACAAACCACACAGCATCACAGGTGCACAAAAATCGATTATGATGCAAAAGCAACATCTTCAGATTGTTGAGGACATTTTCTGGGAAGCTGGTCTTTTGGATCATCTGGATTTTATTTGAGCTGAGATCCAGATATCGCAACTGGAAGGCATCTTGTAGAAAATACTTCGTCAGACTCCTGATTTGATTATTCTTAAGAATCAGATTCTTGAGGCTTCTGGAACAGTTGGATAATCTCTCAGGGACAGTCGTCAGTTGGTTGTGGCTGAGGTCCAAAGTTTCCAGGTTCTTTAGATAACGGAGTTTTTCCCAAATGAAAGATTTGAGCCCATTTTTGGCCAAAGAGAGATTCTTTAGATTTGGAGGCATACCATCAAAAACTCCAGAAGGCAAGAAACTTAGGGAATTTTTAGAGATGTCTAATTCCTCTAATTTTAGCAGATTCTTGAATAATTGTAAGTATCTGTTATCACCATCTCTCCATAAAACATCTAAGTGATTTCCTCTGAATTCCAGAGTTCTAAGAGACTCACTCTCCATGGTCCTGCTGGTGGAGGAAGAGATGTCATTGTCGTTCATCATCAGTTTCTGCAGAACCTTTAGGTTCTTGGTAAAGTTTAGCATATGAGTAATTCCTTCTGATTGAAAATAATGGCTATTACTGCTTATATCCAGAACTTCCAATTTGCGAAGCTCTTCAAATGCTGTTGAATGGAGTAAATCAAGCCGGTTGTTGGAGAAGTCCAAATATCTCAGCTCTGCTAAAGGTTGGAATTCACTGCCATTAAGAGTTTGGCTAATGAGATTTCCTGACAAATTCAGGCATTTGAGGAAAGAAAGATGCTGAAAATCAGAGGACTTGATAAAAAATATACTATTTTTACTTAGATCCAAGGTCTGCCCATACTTGTAGCAGCTTTCATTAACAGACGTGAAAGAAGCCTCTTTGTTTTTGAACCTGCAACTCCTTGCATACTTATCATATCTGAAATAATATAATTGTTCCAGGACCTGGGGTTCATAACTTTCTACAGAAGTTCTGGCATTTGAGCAGAAGCCAACTTCACTTGAATCTCCTGAAGGTGATATTTTATTCACTGAAAGATCTATGACTTTCAATCTTTTAAATTGTTTAAACATGCTGAGGTTAGCAATTTTTATAAAGTTAGTACCAAGATCAAGAACTTCAAGATTTTGAAGATTATGTAATGGAGAGAGGTTAAAGCTTTTCAGCTCTTTGAAGACATATCCTCTGATCCGCAGAATTTTCAGGCTTTTCAGTGAAGAAAATGCTTGTGATAGATTCATAGATGCACGATAGACCTGAAGTTCAAAATTGAAAGACAGATCCAATTGGATGAGGTTGGGGAGAAAATGCAGAAATTTGGCATCCCCAATTTCTTTGGCCAAGAAGTTTTGGGACAGATCTAGTTCCTGGAGATTGTTGATGTTCTTAAACCATCTTGGGGGCACATGCTGAAGAGAGTTACTGTGTAGACGTAAAACTTTTAATTCTGTCAGCGCATCAAAAGCATTTACAGGGATCTGTAGGGGAGAATTATTTTTACATGGCGTACAAGGAAATGGGGCATTATAACAACGAGGGCAATTTCCACTTAGGTCAAGAATTTGTAATTGGTTGAGGTTATTAAAATCATCTTCTTGGATTTCTGCAATCATGTTGTTGTAGAGATATAGTTCTGTTAAAGTAGATGGCAAAACAGTAGGGACGGTTGTGACATTGTTATCTTTCAGGGAGAGCACTTTTAACTTTGTCAAGTTTAGGAAGGCATCTTTTTCTATTGAATATGAAACATAACAAGGATTTCGATAATAACAGTTTTGGCCCAGGTAGAGTATTTCTATGTTGGCCAGTTCTGTTAGATTCTCTTTTCTGATGGAAAAGATGTTGTTGGCCTCAAGGCTGAGAAGCTGTAAGCTGGGTGGAAGGCCCTGCGGTATCTCTAGAAGCTGGTTTCCATCCAGGTAAAGGGATTTTAAATAAGTGAGTCCACTAAAGCTTCTGGGTTTAATCTGCAGCCTCCTGGGGCACATGTTGCTTTTTGACCCCAATCGAATAGGTACACAGTTGCATCTGAAATCGATCTCTACCAGATGGACCAGTCTGTGAAAGGACGCTGGGGAGATGTCTGGTATGTGGTTAATGGTGAGGGTGAGGTTCGTAGTGTTGGTGGGAATACCTCCAGGAATTTCTGTCAAATGCTTGTCTGTGCAGTCCACGATCACATGGTTCTTTGAAACATCCAGAGTGACATCACAGGGCAGAGTTTTAGGAAACCATCTAGCCCCAAGGAGTTTGGAAATTAGGATTATGTTAAAAAGGATAAGAATTTGTCTCTTCAGTGTCCACACTGGAAACATCTGAAAGTATAAGAAAGAACAAATCATTGCTCTAAAACATACGAAGAATCAGAATTAAAATTTCCCATTTGCTGCCTCTCTTTTGCAACATTTTAAAAACAAATAATTCAGGCCTTGTTTCCAACTGTCTAAACAGTAGCCCCAACCCCATGACTGTATTTGTCAATTACTGAGATTTGCAATTATTTAGTTACATAGTTAGCTTTTAGCATCTTAGCTTTTTAGCAAAATAGCTTTCAAGATGGTAGAAGCAGCATTTTCCTATTCGTTGTTACATGGAACACTAAAATGACAGAGCCATCGATTCACTGCCAAAGTCTGAAATTTGGAAGGTGAAGAAATGTTAGAATATGGATACACCCAGGAAAAATAACACATGAAGACTTCAGTGCAATTGATGTTGACCCGCTAAACCTGCCCGGGTACACATTACTTGAGTCTTTCAAAATATTTGAGTCTCAGAATATTCTAAGATTCCCATTTTACAAATGAAGACATCACTCAGCAATATTAACTGATTGGCCCAAGGTTACCCAACTAGTAAGTGGCATTTGATTATAAAACATAGATTCATGCCATTCTGGCACTGACATTCTATAATCTGGCTCTCATCTTGGATTGTTTTTGGAAATAATCTTGCAAATTATCCCCTCCAAGGGGATTTTAGGATGAGCATTTTCCCTACACATTGAGTTTACATTACATAAATTTGGAGAGGAGACAGTAATAGAGTCAGGGCACTGACTGGGTGATGCATAATCAGAGGAACCATATAATTGATCCATTAGTATACTTACAAGAGTGAAGTGGGGCTGTTAATAATTACACCAAGACTATAGGCATAAACCAAGTCTGTCAGGCAAACTGCGACATATGGGAACCTACCCATAAAGGTGGTTCTTGTGCATCCAGGTTTAGCATGACAGACACTGGGACCCTAGGGAGAAAGGCCCTAAAAGGGAATATGGGAAGTGCAGAAGAACTTTAATAATCACCTTATTACCTTCAACTGACTCTGCCTTACAGAATACTTTAACCGTGGACTTGCTCTCAAGTTTCAGGATTTCTAGCAACGTCTACTCCAGAACACTGGTTTTAGTTTAGTACTTACACATGGAGTGGTCCAGCCTGTGTCTCTACCATAGGGATCTAGCTCAGTTAATGCTTTTATCTTCCCAAGTGACTGAATCAACCAATCATGTTGATATCTAAGAAACCAAATGCCTACTTCCACCAGATGTGGTGGCTCATGCCTCTAATACCAACGCTTTGGGAGGACAAAGCAGGTGGATCGCTTGAAGCCAGAGTTCAAGACTAGCCTGGGCAACAAAGCGTGAGACCCTCTCTCTACAGAAAAAAAAAAAATTAGCTGGGCATGGTGGCACACACCTGTAGTTCAGCTACTCAGGAGGCTGAGTTGGGAGGACCTCTTAAGCCCAAGAGTTTGAGGTTGCAGTGAGCCGTGATCACACCACTGTACCCCAGCCAGGGTGACAGAGCAAGACTCTGTCTCAAAAGAAAAACAAAAAAAGCCTACTTCCCTTAATTCCTCTAATTGGAGGTAAATAAGCAACTTTTTTCCTCCAATGCAAGATGGCTCAGAAGGGCTTTTTCATGTCTAAAGTTTGTTGGAGTTAGATGTACAAAATTGTCTCTTCTTCTTCTCTATCTTTTCCTCCCCATCATTAAAACCATTGAGAGTCCAGTTGACCTCCTTCATTGTTCTTAACATCCTCCTTGGTGTGTGGTTTTAGCTGACATAATATCAACTGAGATCCCTCTACCCTTGGTCTACTCCAAAGCCTCCTCTCTCACTTTCCCAGTCCACCCTATCTATCAAGCTTCCCAAACCTTAATCAATCAGTTTCTTGCTCTGAACTCCTTGAAATTGTTTCCCAGGCTCAAGTGATCCTCCCACCTCAGCCTCCCAAAGTGCTGAAATTACAGTCATGAGGCACTGCACCCGAACTTCTTATTTTATTTTATTTTTTACAGTATGAGCTGAAGCTTTTTATCATGGCATCCAAAGTCTTCCATAATTTGTCCCCTGTCTACTTGTCTGGCTTACCTGATTGAACTTCTCTACTAGCCTCACTAGTCGATACACCCAAGTTCCCTGACTTGCAAGTCCCTCTGTTTGAAGTCCTCTTCCTTACCATTTTCACCCACCAGAATTCTAATTATCCTTTAAGGCTATGTTTCTCAAAAGGAGCACTCAGATACCTCAGAATATATGGCAATATGCCAGTGGCTACAGGAAGCCCTTAAATAAATATGGCACATCTTTCTAGAGCACCAGTCTTTCTCAGAGATTTAGGAAAAATGTTCACTACTCAGGGAGGAGGGGTTGAGTCAAGATAGGGGGATGGCTATCGTCCCTCATAATAGGATTTTATAGTCCCTGATAATAATATTTGTATAGTTATAGGATCCCAGGCCCTGGACCCAACTCCTGCTATGCTTTTGTCCAAAGACATAATGGGTTCATAGATCCCACTATTAGGAGGCAATTGGTAATGCTGCCCAGAGTGATACTGTAAAGCAGAGAGGGGAGTTGTACTTCAGAGGGGGCCAACATGGATAAGTGACAATCATGAACCAGGTCCCTCTTCCCATCCCATTCTCATGTACCTAAATGAGACACTGGGAAGAAGTGGGAGGATCGCTGAGTTGAGTTGAAAACATGAAGTGATTGAGACAACAGTCCTCATACCACATTTCCCAGGATGTGCCTAGTTTGAGTGTTTTCGTGATCAGGGAAAATGGAGGCTGTAAAATGAAGGAAGTTTAGTTGTAGAAAAATAAAGTCACCTTCACCAGTGGTGTGATGATAAATGTTTAACAATCAGCTTTCCCTGATTTGTTGTCTTGATTTGTAGCATTTGTCAGTTTCTATAGTGGTAAATATTCCCTCCATGGCCAATTTCAAGTAGGGTCCAGCACACCACTGGCCTTAACACACCTGAGATAATGACTGTGAAATTTTTAGTCTCTACACACTGACATATTATAAATTAGAATGCAAATTAATCAGAAAACCTTCCCCCCCACCACCACTTATTTCTAAACTTTTTTCTCGCACCTGTCCACTTTTCTCTTTGACTATTACCACCTCCCAACTCCAATTAGTCATTAGGTCTCATCTGGACCACTATGCTAGACTCCAAATTGTTCTCTCTGCTCCCCCTTCTCCTCTACAATTCATTCATCAAACAGCATCAGAGTGTTCTTTATAAACCTGAATCAGATCTACTACAATGTCTTCCTATTACACTTTAAATGAAATCCAAAGTCTTTACCACTGCTTATATCAAGGGTGTTCTGACTTCAGCCTACCTCTCTGACCTTGAGTCATCCTTCCCCTCCTTTACCACATATCAGCCATCTGGTCTGTTTTCTGTTCTGCATTCAAGCCAGCCTTGTAACCACCACAGTCTTGGCACTTGCTGTTTCCTCTTCCTGAAATCATCTTTCTCCTCCTTTTCCCACAGCCCGGTCATTACCACCCCTTAGTTGCCTATTCAAGTGACACATCCTCAGAGAGGCTTTCCCTGACCAACTTATCTAAATACCTTCCCATGTAAGAATAGTGATAATAATAGTAATAGTAGTTAACTTAGGTAGCACTTACCATATGCCAGGCATCATTTTAAGTGTTTTCCATATATTAATTCATTTAATCCTCACAGTAATGGATACCACAGGTCTTCAATCCCTTATCCAAAAACTTTGGTGCTACATGTGTTTTGGAATTCAGAATTTTTCAAATTTTAGAAGGTAATATGCTACATGTACCCTAGATTATGTAATACCTATTGAGTCCTGGGGCAGCATTCCATAATGAAACACACAAAATTTCCACAGTGACACATAAGATTGTCCACTCTAAGTGGAATTATTTAAAAAAAAAACTCAGTTATTTATTCTTTGTTAAAAAGAATAAAGAAAAAATTCAGTTCAGGTCAAGATCTACCCTCAAATGCATTCAGATCATATTATGTTTGCAATCAACTGAGTTAGGACAAAGCTTTTGGTTTAGAGTTTTGGAATTATAGACTATTATCATTATTATTATTATTATTATTATTATTATTAGAGACTGAGTTTCACTCTTATTGCCCAGGCTGGAGTGCAATGGCATGATCATGGTTCATTGCAACCTCCACCTCCCGAGTTCAAGCGATTCTCCTGTCTCAGCCTCCCAAGTAGCTGGGATTGCAGGTACGTGCCACCACGTCTGGCTAATTTTTGTATTTTTAGTAGAGACGGGGTTTCACCATGTTGGTTAGGCTGGTCTGGAACACCTGACCTCAAGTGAACCACCCACCTCGGCCTCCCAAAGTGCTGGGATTACAGGCATGAGCCACCGCACCTAGCCTAGACCTCTATTATTATCTCCATTTTACAGATGAGTCAACTGAGGCACAGAGAGGTATATGCACTCTGTAATTGACTACCCTGTTTGATTTCAGTCATAGCCCTTACGGCAGTCAGAAATTATCTTGATGATTTATGTTGCTTATTCGTATGATGTATATTCTGTACAAGAATGTAAGCTGCAAGAGGGTAGAGCCTTTTGTGGTCTCATGTAAAACAATGCCTGGCACTTAATTAGGACTTTGTTATGTTTGTTAGATACATGAATGAAAGAATGAATGCCTGCATAAATGAATCGTGAAGTAAAGAAAAATGAAAAAAAAATTCTCCTTGGAGTAGTTTCCTTCAGTCTATACCCCCAGACCAAGCACAGGTCAGATTTCTGTCTCTTCTATCTGCCCAGGGATTTCTTGGGGGAAAAGGTTTAAGAAGCTCTGTTTTTATAATGTCTCATTCAAAAACACTTTCTTCAAAAAACCTTCTGGGATCAAACCAGACAGAAGTAATCACTCCCTCCTCTCACCCCTACTGCACTTATTACATGTGAGGTTGTGAAAAGCACTCTGGATGGAGGGTTGGAAGAACTGGGTTCTAGTCCTCTCTTGGTAGTTCATTACCCATAT